TGGGCCGGTTTTGTTCAATATCTTCATTAATGATCTGGAGGATGGTGTGGATTGCACCCTCAGCTAGTTTCCAGATGACACTAAACTGGGAGGAGAGGTAGATACGCTGGAGGGGCAGGGACAGGATACAGAGGGCCCTAGACAAATTGGAGGATTGGGCCAAAAGAAATCTGATGAGGTTCAACAAGGACAAGCGCAGAGTCCTGCACTTAGGAAGGAAGAATCCCATGCACCACTACAGGCTAGGGACCGAATGGCTCGGCAGCAGTTCTGCAGAAAAGGACCTAGGGGTTACAGTGGACGAGAAGCTGGATAGGAGTCAACAGTGTGCCCTTGTTGCCAAGAAGGCCAATGGCATTTTGGAATGTATATGTAGGAGCATTGCCAGCAGATCGAGGGACGTGATCATTCCCCTCTATTCAACATTGGTGAGGCCTCATCTGGAGTACTGTGTCCAGTTTTGGGCCCCACACTAGAAGAGGGATGTGGAAAAAATTGGAAAACGTCCAGCGGAGGGCAACAAAAATGATTAGGGGACAGGAACACATGACTTATGAGGAAAGGCTGAGGGAACTGGGATTGTTTAGTTTGCAGAAGAGAAGAATGAGGGGGGATTTGATAGCTGCTTTCAACTACCTTAAAGGGGGTTCCAAAGAGGATGGATCTAGACTCTTCTCAGTGGTAGCAGATGACAGGAATGAGGAGTAATGGTCTCAAGTTGCAGTGGGGGAGGTTTAGGTTGGATATTAGGAAAACTTTTTCACTAGGAGGGTGGTGAAACACTGGAATGCGTTACCTGGGGAGGTGGTGGAATCTCCTTCCTTAAAAGTTTTTAAGGTCAGGCTTGACAAAGCCCTGGCTGGGATGATTTAGTTGGGGATTGATCCTGCTTTGAGCAGGGGGTTGGACTAGATGACCTCCTGAGGTCCCTTCCAACCCTGATATTCTATGATTCTATGATTCATAGACCTCCACAGGTATCTAACATGAGGTGGCATCATCCAACATAACACTTATCCAGCAGGGGGATAAAATAAGGAAGCATTGGTGTAGCAGAAAGAAAGTAACAGCTCTATGCTCACTAATGTTGGTCAGTAGGGCTTAAATTAAAAAGCATTAAATAACATTAAAAGAGAAAACAGTTCTCAAAACCACCAGCTAGTAACAGTTCCCTTTCTGGTTTAGTATCTAGAGTGGTTCAGACTCCTATATGACCACCTTCCCCTTCAGAGGGCGTCAATGATTTAATAATAGGTTACACCAAAACATCTGAGTCAAGTGGATAGGATGCTAGACTCTGAAAACCTGAGTTACATTCCTGTCTCTACCACCAAGCTGATGGATGACCTGGGGCAAGTCATTCACCTCGGTGTGCTGCAATCTTCAAATCTGTAAAATGGGGATAATGATATATAGTCTTCTTTGTCAAATTCTTTGAGATCTCTGGAGGAGAGCAATATAAGGAGCTAAATATTATCACCATCATATTAAAAAGTCCTCCTTAAGCAGAGTTTCTGAAGTGTAAGGGTTCAAAGTTCCTCTAAGGAACTCCTGAACAATCATTAGCAGGGGCATCAGAAAGCAGGGCGCAGCAGGGAAATACCATGTAAGCTCCATGTCTACTCTCATCTGTGGATGTGGTTGAGGGAGGACAGTGACTAGTGCTAGATCTGGGAGTGAGGGGAATAAATGGGTGATAAGGAGAGGGTAGGATTTGCAGCTGGGACGGTGGAGTCAGGCACTGACTGGGAGGAGCAGGTGCTGACTTGGGAAAGGACACAGGCTTTTTAATAGGGAGCAGGAGAAGGTTCGAAATGTGTGGAAATGGAAGGAACAATAGTGCTCCTGAAGACAAGAGAGGCTGCCCAAAGTGTAGGGTTGCCTGGCATATTAGTGGAGGTGGGGGTGGGCTGTGAGGGTGAGGTACATCCCATGCAATGTACCTGGAGTACCCCTCAGTTTCAGGTTAAAATAGAAATGTACTTGGGTGTGTGGGAAAAACAATTAAAAACGGCTTTAAACAAAATACTAAAAGCATCCTCCAGTGTTGCTGCAGGCGAATTACCTACCATTATGAAAGAGGGAGAGATTTTATGGTAGGAACATGTTCAGAATGTCCTCTGATGGAAAGCACACAAAAGGGCATTAAATAAATGTTATTTCTTGAGCACTGGGAGTGTGCGTGGTGGTGCCAGACAGAGGAAAGCATAAGCCTTACCCAAAACAGCTGCAATCTAGATCAGAAAGGAATGGACACAAACCAAGCAAAGACAGTGATTCCAAATTAAGTGCCAGATCCTGAGCGTGGCTCTGGATCTGGCCCCAAAGCTCTCTATCTGTCTGTCCTTAATTCACCCTGTTGGGTTTACAGTGGCATAGAAAATCATGTTTCCTTGTGCAAAGTGGAGTGAGGAGTGGCTCCCTTGCATTATGTACATGAAATGGAAGGAGTCGGGGATGACTGGCTTAATTACCTCTGATGTTACCACATATTGGGCAGGAGTAGGGGAGAGACCCAGTGTACAAAGCAAGAACCATACGGTAGGTGGGGGAGGGGAAGAGAAGGGAGGAAGGAGGGGAAAGAGAGAATGGGGAGTCAGGAGTAGAGCAGCCACAAGGAGGAATGTGAGGAGACAAGACTTCTAGTAGATTCTGTAATTATATAGGAAGTACAGAAGAGAAAAGATCAAGAGGAAAAGATGGAAGAAAAAATAAAACAGAATGGGGGACAGGAAGAGGAGAGAGTGGAAGGGGTATTATAAGGCAATGTAGCACAGGTCATGCCAGTCTCTCTGCTAATATGTTATAAAAATACCACAAGGACAGGAGGAGGATCTATTACAAGTTTATGTAACGTAATTCTGACCTGATCATTTCCTATGTATTCTTGTTCCTTTAGGCATGTGATCAGAATTTGTTATCTGACTATTCTAACATCTAAAATGTTCTTGGATTACAGGTTCATTAAATATATCTAGATGACTCTCGTAGTATTATAGACATATTTCAGCATGTCTTGTTATCAGTTATGCTCATCCCACTCATAGGGATGTGTGTTCTATAATAAAAACAGAAGAGTACTAGTGATTCAGGGATCTAAAATAGTTTATACTGCGGCAAAGAATTTTACACTTGAGCCAAGTGTAACATAAAGCTACATCCTGTGATTTGGGAAGACACGGCAGTGAGTGTGACTTACCAGATCTATAAACAACTGGAAGCATCTTGAATGACATTTGTTTATACCAAAAATCTGTCCTTTTTTTTTCTGCGTAGCCTCTTAATAAAGACTGATGACTCTTCAATTGTATAGCACTTCCTGTGTGCATTCCAATGTAAACTTACTAAAACTAGACAACTTTTAGTTTTTAAAATAGATTTTTTTTCTAATGTCAACTTAAAGTTCATGTACTTGCCAGTAGATAACTTGATAACCCTGCATTAAAGCCCTCTAAATAGAAATACTTCTCGCAGGGAGAAAATCCAGTTTAATAAAGTAACTATCCTTCTGCAAAACAGCATCTAGGAAACTCCAAATACAGTCACATTTTTTTCCATGCAGAACATGCTATTTTTATGTACCGTGTGACTCTTAGCATTTGTAGTCTTCTCATCCCCCCCACATATTGCTGTGCACACACGGCGTGTTACTCAAATACCAATAGAATCAAATTGCTATCGTGACATTCTGACACATCTGGGTCCCGTTAGAACAATGAAACTGTCAGCCAGTAGCGGAGGTTCATGAGTGTGGGACGCAGAACTTTCACAAGAGCTGGCTCTAGATTAATGAAACTCACTCTTGCAAGGGATAAGAGTGACCATAGAAGGAACTGCTTCCAAAATGAAATGCCAAACTCACAACATAAGTCTTAGTCTGTGGAGCATATAGGAAGCATGGCTAACCTATGTGGAACGGGGATGAGTCTGGTGATACCTGCCTCTGGTTATGTTGCTCATCACCCTGTGGTGAATCCCCGATAAAATGGCTTTACTCATGCTTTACTCAGGCCATTTTAGCATGGTTTCTGAGCTTCTCTTCTCCCTAAAGTAAGTTACTTTCCTGGCCCAGCACAGCTGGCATAGAGACACTGTCACACTCTGGCATGTCTGGCTGCTCGCAGAGTAGCGCTCCTGCCTGGTGTCCACCTGCATCCCCTCCCAATTCAGCATCCTCCTCCCCTCAATCATCTTGAATACTAGTCTTACTTCACTCTCCCACTGCACCACCTGGGAAGACTTCAGTCCAACCTCTCCTTTCATCTGAGCAACCACATCTCCAATGCTAATTCTCAGCCCTCCCCCCGGCTGCTCTCTCTCCTCTTCCATGCTGCCTGACAGACTTGACATTAGTGGTAGTGGGTAGAGGAGCCTTTCCTGGCTCCTCCCTTCTGTTCTCTTGACTTCACTTCCCCATCCCATAGAAGTTACATATCGTGTTATTGTTTATTAAGCGCTGGCCATATGCTTGTACAAAACACGAACAAGGACATTGACCTTGCCTTGCGAAGCTCACAGTCTGTGAAGACAAGGTATGGGGCTTTTGAGAGCTTCTTGAATTCTGACAGGTTGTGTGACTGAATCTTAGTGGACCAGCACCCATAGACACCTCCCATTGTCCTCCCTCCTCTTATCTCCACACCAGCAGATGAGAACTGAATCACTTTTACTGGGCTCTCAGGCTGTTTGTACATCTTCAGTTTTTGATAGTGAAGAGGGGAACAGTTGTAGAAAACTTTGCATTGTGTCTCATGCATTTGGTTCTACTCCTTTGGCCTGGTTCTGAGTGAAGGTCCTGGGCCTTAGGAGCATTTAGCTCTAAAGATCCAGCGTTTGAGAACTAGACAATTAAGTACCTCAATCCACACTTTTATATTCTTGAAAATCTCCATTTGGTTTGGTATCTAAGATGATAGCATGGTTTTGTGAAAAATAACAACAGTGTCTCATGATCCTACCTTGTCTTATGGGTATTGTCTTTGCATTCTGTTTTCTGTTAGATCGAAGATTCCATTCTTAAGTACTTTGGGAGTCATACAAGAAGAGCAATTTTATACATTCCTCCTTCCTGTGATAAAAAAGAACTTCAGCTATATCAGCGCATCCTAGCACAATATGGATATACAGTGACAGTCCTTGAAGACAGGAAACTGAATGTAGGACGTGGACATGAGCACCACTACCAAGGTAAGAATGATGAGAAACAAATTAATACAAATTAATAAAAAAAATTTTGTCAGTAATCCAATATTCATTCAGAATATCCATCACTGAATCTAATTTATAAACTTTATAAACCAATTTGACTAGGGGCTTATAGTCACAATCTGGCCTTGTCCAGTCACACAGATGCTTATTTTTCCACATAGGGACACTCCTTCTATTCTTCTATCAACTGCCTGCTGTTTAACTCCACCCCAGCTCTGTTATTCATCCTAGCCCAGGAAGTCAGTTCTGCTCTGTTCTTGATAGGTTCTTATACCGCCCTCGTCGCTGTAGTATCTGAGTGCCTTCCGTTACAGCATTAAGTGTCAAGACTAACAACAGCCAGATGGAGGGAACAGGGGGAGCAATCCAAAAAAGGCACCACCCACTGCGACACTTTTACTCACCCAGTGGCGCTCCGGCAGCAGGCCCTCACTCGCACTGAAGGTCTCGCCGCCGAGGTGCCACCGAAGACCCGGAACGAGTGAAGGTCGTGCCGCCGAAGACCTGGAGTGCCACTGGCGAGGTCAAAGAAATATGCCTTGCATATGGAGTGGATGGTGGTGGGTTTTGTAATGGTCCTTAGTTCCTGTGGGAATTTGTTCCACAATTTGAGACTAGCCCCTGCACAGATAAGCTGTACCCTTATGGTAAAAAGTTCCATTGTGCCTGAGGGGTGGACAGCCACAGTCGTCAGCCTGGACCTTGGGATGGTCTTTTAGGTGTGTGAGGCCCAGGCCATTGAGGGCCTTGAAGATAAGGATCAAGATTTTGATCTTGAATCTCTATTCTATAGGAAGCCAGTGTAGAAACTGGAGAAAATTGGTAGAAAGAGACCACCCAGCACTCTGTCAATGGAAGAAAATGACAGTTCTGGTATTTTTATTATGTGGTTGTTTGTGCCTTATAGTAAAGAATAATTATATTGTCATTCATACCTGCAGAAGCTCCCTGCAGTTATCAGATACCTCACTGTTGCTTTATTATTTAACTAATCTCAATTGTGTTTATTTAAACTTGGATAACGTGAAAATTATTCTGTGGTGCTGATTAGAACACACTGTATTGAACACAGCAAATTTCCACTATTATTTTAAGTTAAGTTTTATAGGTAAGTTTTAAAGATTTTTTTTTTTAAGGTAAGGTGTGTACATTTTCCCTGATGAGCTGCCTCCTGTATTAGAATATGGAGCGTTACCCATTCCCCTCTTAAAAAATAAAATAAAATCTGGTTTCTCAGCTCTGTCGTCTCCCACTCACTACCTGCCATCAATATACATCACTCCAGTGACAAGACACAGCACTTCTACAGCCCATGCTGATGACAGATGGATTTAGCTACAGTGTGGTGTCCAGTGCAGCCAACATCCCATTCTCTGAGGATCATGTACGGCACATCTGCGGCATACTTTTTTTTTGGCTTAACTGGCTGATGGCGCAGGGTTCACTTAAAACTGCTGTAGAGGTTTGTAACCAGTAAACAAACTGTCTGCAGATTTCAGATTTTCTGTAGATATTTATATTTTTACATCCTGTGCCAATAAACCCTGCACTATTTTTTTCCAGTAATGGGAACAAAAATAGCAAAAGTGCTTTATACACTTTCCATCACTGTCCAGATGTACCTGCAACTTTCAACATATGGTAGCTGTATAGAATAAATGGAACAAACAGCAGTTTAATGTAAAGAGTAAGAGCCTTCTCACTCCATTATATAGCAGCATAGACTATTTTAACTGCTTCCAGGGTTGTATATATTCCTAGCTTTAAGGTTAAGTTTTGTTTTTAAAGTAAAAAGTAAAAGAACATGCCTGCATTCCAAACTGATGATCTTAGCCTAGAGCTGAAGAAGTTATAACTGGAATTATTTTCCTCTTGCTGCTAAATTATGTTTTCTAGTGTTCTGTATGGTGTAGTACTGTACACTGTATTCTGGAGAAGGCTATTTTGAATTATGTTATGTCATAACATTTTCCTAACGAGACTGCTATAATTTATAAAAATGTGTTCCTCGGAGGCACTATTAAAAAGATACAGATAATAGACTGAGAAATATAGATCACAAATATTGTGGAAAAATCTATAGAAAGAATCACTCCTCTTTGCAGTTTTAATTTAGTGCCTTGGCCTGGTGCTTTTATTTTTGCGCAGTTTCAGGTTTTGAAAGTCTGTGGTGTTCATGTATTTTTCATAGTTCAGACTGATTTCTTTAGGATTTCTGTTTATGCTGGATGTGAGCCAAAGGGCCTAGCTGAAGTCATATATGGAAAAAAATTCACTACAAAACATTCTTAACTTTTTTGTGCTGATTAATAATTAATTTTGGGGCCAATTATACTCCGATGTGAAGTCCAAGTACAGCTGATAAACTGGAACTCCATAAGTGTCAGACTCCTTTTCAACACCTGGGTGGCAGTCACTATTCCAGCTTCCTGACTGAATCGTAGAGAAGGTATAAAAAATGGTTTCTTTTTGTGGAAAAGTCTGGCTTTTTGTTAAAAAACCAAAATGTCTTTGGCAACTGTAAAATATCTAAGTTTTGGACAATGGGTGGAGGGGGGGAGATTAGGGTTTCTGATGAAAAGTCCATCAGATAGTGCTTTCTGCAAAAAATATTTATTTAGTCAAAAACCCAATTTTCCATTGGAAAAAAAGTTGGTCAGAAATTTTCAACTAGCCATGCTGCTCTAGCTTCACTCTTCTTGTGCCTCTAATCCCACATGAAGGGAATGGCCAGTGGATCCATGAAGTCAGGGATCCACCATTCTGCTCCTGCCCATGAACTACTTTAAGTCTTCTCTGCACCAGCCCAGCATGAGCCCCTACACACGTAAAGGATACACACTTCCGGAGTGAACTCCTGCCTTGCCTTGCTGCTGCTCTCATCCCATATAGCAGGGTCCTCTGTGGCTGCTGAAGAAGGACAGAATTTGCTGTCTTATTTCCAATGGGATGTTCGAGTTTTGTTCAATATGTCTGCCACAATGGGCTCGCCTCCCTTGCCTGTCAATCAGGGACATGGTAGTCTCTTTGGATAGAACTTTCCATTGCAACCAGACCTCCTCCTTCAGGCAAGTTACCTCAGTTACTTCTTGCCTCACTCTGAAGGAGCAGCCTCTGGATGAAGTGCCATTTTTGCCACAGCCTAAACCTGTGTTTGGACCCAGCATCTTGGAGCTGCAAGAAAAAGACTAAAAGGATTAGAATAAGCAGGAGAGAGTGCTCCACCCATGCCTCTCCTCTCCAGCTTTCCACATTCAGCCCTTTCTGCACTGTGTGTCAGAGGCCTTCTTCTCACAAGTGCAGAGCTGGTCAACTGCAGCTAATAGTCACTGGGGTGAACAGTGGACTGAACTGCACTTCAGGGCCCTGGCAGAGCCTCAAACTCTGAAGAAGAACCTATGGAGTTAGGTTCTTCCAGCATTCTCTGCTGTTCCTTCCCTCCCTTCCTTGTGGGGAAGTCTCTTGTCCTTTGAGATATAATGAGAATTAACAAGGTCTATGCGGCCTCAGTGCTTAGTGATGTGCTGCCAAAATTTTAATCAGGACTTCCTTCAAAAATGCTCTGCCTCACTCAGCAATTTATGTGACTAAAATGCATTTCCAGCTTCCATAAATTCGTTTGTTCCCTATTTTCCTCATGCTACCTGAAAAAAAAATCAATTCCACACTCTTCCCTCCTAAAATTAATAAATTGCATGAGTCCCTCCTCCCAAATCCATCAGTTTTTCCATGCTTTGATCAGTACTTTTGCAGACCCCTTTTTAGTCCACTTCCTTTCTTTATCAATTTTGCACCCACAAATCAGAGATCTGTGAGTCCACATGTCTCAGGTCATTTTAGGCTCAGAAAGGGAGACTGGATTTAAGTTGCCTGGCTCATCATTTTTAATGTACCTTCTGTAATAAACTGCAAAATTCCCACATTATGTCTAGCCTTTGGATTGGTTGAGATGTTGCGTGTCCCTCATGTCAACCAGTCAGTTTGCCCATGCAAAAAAATGCATCTTAACTGACTGCAGCTGAGTTCAGTGTAATTCTAACTTCATCACCTCCCCACCTCATTTGTATGTTAGTTTCACTAACCTGCAGGAAGTTTATGCGGTTACAGTGAGTACCTTTAAAAAACAATCAAATACCATTCCATGGTACTGACTTTACAATACCATGACAATTGATTATGAATGCCCCTCAAAAAGTAAACCTAAGTTAGGTTTACTTTATGAGCCCCTCCATAGCTGATGAAATTCTAGCCCAGCTTTTGGAATGATTTTTGCAATTCATATATTGACTTCTTTTTAGGTTATTTATTGTCCTGTAGGGCAAATATTGACTTGAGCTTTGCTTTGATCGATATTTACCTCTTGGGTCAATGAATCTTGATGTTCATTGCAAACAAAATCAATATCTGCTTCATATTTTATTAATTCATTTGGGGTAGTTCAATGGAGATTCTGCACCATATACATCTTTAAAATTTACATGTGTTGCAAACTGTGTTGATCTACAGTGTTTCTTCTTTTCTGACTTTGTCCTTCCAATGATTTTGTTGTTCTCCCTCATATTTTCATACGAAACCCTGTATGACTGGGTACAGCAGCTTTGTACACAACCTCTGTTTCTAGCAACCAGCTCTGGGGAAGATCAGGTCTGGTGCAGATGGTGGGAGGGGTGAAATTGTGGCACTTGCACTGAGCAAACCTGAATGAATTTTGGTCGTCTCCATTTCTGGCGGAGGCCATGGAGGTCATCGTGGCTATGAGGTAGCAGTAATTCTTCATCTCTCTCTGGGTATTATTTAGCCCTTTATCAACATTATTACCCCCGTGTGGTAGGCAAATGTTGTTATTTCCATTTTACAGATGGAGACATTAGGACAAAAGCTAAGGCTTGACTAATGCCACAGGAGTCACTGTCAGAGCTGGGATGAAAACATGTTGAAAACACATCTTGCTTTAAACCTGTATCTTAGTCCTCTAGATT